AGAGAGAGAGAGAGAACCTCTGGATCACCATTAGTTAATTTAGAAAGGAACTTGATGCTCTCTTCATAATGATTTATTGCAGATCCTGCATCGCCCATTCCTCGACTGAAAAAAAAAAAGACAATAAAAAACCAGGAATAGTAATTTACCAGACATGGAAAGAAAATAAACACATATAAATTTGGTAATAGAAATAATATGGACATGACAGGGACATCCAATTTGCCTCATCTTCTAGTAGACTAGCTTCCACCCTCCCAAATCCGCTCGAAACAGGTCTACACTACTCTGACCTAGACGAGTTAGTGCCTATGCCCTTAGAAATGAGGCTTGCCCTAAACCCTAATCCATGACCCTTATCTCTCCTATTCTTTCTACTCCTAGAATCCACCAACTCCCCTTAACAATTTTCAGGGGTCAGATTTCAACACCGATATTCAATCCTCGGCTTCAACTGACTCTTTGGAACTCGAGAGAATTGAAAGAGGAGAACCTCTCCTGGCCGAAACCATCTCAGAAGCAGAAGTAATCTTCCATGGAGAAACTGCAATCTCACAAATCAACTTAGGGCCAATGCAGGTGACCCACAAGTACTCTCCTCACACCTCAGAAGTAGGAGCTCTAGGGAGCTTGGAAAGCTCCACTCCAGGGTGAACTATGACACCCTCGGAACTCAGCTGAGCTAACTTCCTCAGTCTCCCTTCACATTGCTAGCCCCATTAAGAGGAAAACCTCTAGGAAATCCACCCGCCACCCAAACTTCCCCTAATGAAGGTGCTCTGTTGGAATATTAGAGGACTTGGCTGCCTCGCCAAAAGAAATGTTGTCCGTTCTCTCGTCCATGTAGTTAACCCAACCATTTTAGCCCTCTTTGAGACTAAGCTCTCGTTCCCAGATTTGTCTTTGATTAGGTCTATCTGGGGTCAATACCCCTGTGCTTGAGAAGCCAAAGATTGACAGAGGGTCTTGGGGGGTATATGGATTGTTTGGAACCCAAGCATTCTCCAAGGTACCTCTGCTCAAATCCTTGAACACTCGGGATCTTTATCTGTTACCCGCCTAGCAGATAATTTCCCCTTTGTTATCTCCTTTGTTTATGGCTCAAATAACCCAAGCCTCAGATCAAACCTCGGGCTGGAACTTTCCTCACTATTTGCCCCACTAAATATCCCATGGCTAGTCGCCAACGCCTTCAACACTGTGAGATGGACACATGAAAAATTAAATGGGAGGAGTATCAATGCATCAATGAGAGTTTTCTCAGACTTTATAGAGAATATACCTTCAATAGATATTCCACTCTTCGGAGCCTCTTTCACCTAGTCTAACCATGCTTCAACTCCAATTATGTCAAAATTAGATAGGTTTTTGGTTAACCAACAGTGGGAAGATGAGTTTCTTGGCACCAGTTCCCGAGTTCTCCCTAAAGCAACCTCTGACCATAAACCAATTCTCCTAGATTCCAACTTCACTCCTTGCATCAATAAATCATTTAGGTTCGAATTGCATTGGTTCGAAGAACAATCTTTTCCTTCCTTGTTCGCCTCAGTTTGGTTCTCCACAAATGTTTTCGGTTGGGCTGGGTTTAGGCTCACTCGGAAGCTCCAAAATCTAAAAGCTGCTCTAAAGCTTTGGAGTAGGGATAACCCCTCAAATTTCAGAACTCGAATAAGAGCTTACTCAACCTTAATCTCAGACCTGGAACAATTGCAAGAAACTAGAATCCTAACTACCTAAGAAAGCCAAGGTAGAACCCAAGCCAGATTTGATCTCCCCCAAACCTTAAAACAAGAGGAGACTTACTAGTATCAGAGATCCAGGATCGAATGGTTCAAACCGGGTGACCAAAATACAGCCTTCTTCCATAAGACGACCAGCTCCATACGAAGAGGAAATGCTATCACACAAATCACAGTCGGTCCCCCAACTCTTCACCAACCCTTGCCATATCAGTCGACTGTTTATTAGATTCTTCTCTAACCTCTTCTCCAAACCCAACCATCCTCGCTCCCAATTAGGCAATTTATCCTTCAAAATATCTCCCTTGAAGTTGCTGCCAATCTGGAGAGGCCATTCTCCTTGATCTTCCAAAAGATAAAGCCCCCAGACCAGATGGGTTCCCCATAGCTTTGTTCCAAAACCTCTGGGATGCTACAGCCTCGGACCTTCTAGCTTTCTTCGAAGAATTCTTCCTGAGGGGCAAAATAAACTCAGCTCACAAATGTACCTTCCTAGCTGTGATTCCTAAATTAGAGGGTGCCCATAGGATGAAGGACTTTCGCCCAATCAGTTTTCTAAACTCTACATACAAAATCTTATCCAAAGTCCTAGCAACTAGGCTTCAGCTCGTTCTATCCTCTATTCTCTCTCCCACACAGTCCACATTTGTAGCTAACAGACAAATCCAAGACGGTGCCCTGACTGCCCATGAGGCCATCCATTCTAGATCCCTCCCAAGACAGCAAGATCTCATCATCAAGCTAGATTAGAAAAAGGCTTACGATAGGGTACACTGGGATATCCTAGACTCCATCCAATCCAGAATGGGCTTTGGTTCAATTTGGAGAAAATGGATCTCTGAATGCATATCTAACCTCTCCTCCATCCTCATTAATGGAACCCCCGAAGGCTTCTTCCAAGCGCATAGACGTCTTAGGCTGGGTGACCCTTTGTCACCTTTTCTTTTCACTCTTATAGGGGAACTCTTCAGTCAAACTATCTCTAGACTCTATGATAATGGTCCCTTTCACGCTTCCGACTTCTCCCTCTGGTCCCGTAATATCTCACCTACTCTATGCTGATGACACTCATCTTCTGTGATGCCAACCCTTCCCAAGTCGATTGTCTTTGGTGATTCTTGAGAACTTTTGAATTACTCACCGAGATGAAAGTAAATCTCTCCAAGACTAAGATGATGAGTATTAATGTCGACAATGCAGCTCTTCTTAGCATGGCCTCTCGTTTAGGATGTGCCACGGAAACCATACCATCCTCCTACCTGCGTCTTCTCCTTTGCTTAGGAAAACCGAAGAGAAACATGTGGGACAACCTTATAGAGAGATTCACTTAGAAATTTGCCTCCTGAAAAGGCAGATACCGTTCATTAGGGGGTAGAATCACCCTAATCCGTGCAACGTTAGCCAACATTCCCATCTACTGCATGTCTCTGTTTCAAATACCCATCTATGCCATCCAAAAACTGGAAAAACTCATACGTGACATTCTCTGGCCAGGGGTAGATGAAACCAGGAAAATTCATTTAGTAGCTTGGGACACACTATGCTTTCCAAAAATCTTCGGTGGTCTAGGAATTAAAAACCTTAGAATCATGAACCAAGACCTCCTGAGTAAGTGGTGGTGGAAATTCTCCTCTCCCCACCCCCTCCTTTGGAAAGAAGTAATTCAAGCCAAATATGGGATGGATGGTGTTGATTGGCTGCCTAGATACCCCCCACACAGGTCATCTGGTGCTTGGAAAAGCATATCCTCCCCTAGAATAGAATTCACCAACAGAACTAGATTCAAATTGGGCAATGGCCTAAGAATCAAATTTTGGACTGATACCTGTGGCTAGGATTTTCTCCTCTTTCTCTGGTCCTTCCCTCCCTTTTCCCTATAGTCCGCGATCCAGCAGCTCTTATCGCAGACTATGCGACTTTCTCAGGCACAACTCTGGTCTGGATTCCAGTCCTTAAACTGTTTTAGCACTCTATCAAGACCAGACTCTGTGATATGGTCACCTGCCCCCTCGGGTGCGTTCTCAGTGTCTTCTTTTTACAATTCCCTTCTACCCAACCCCAACCCCGAACTTCTCTTGGTCTTTACCCATACCCCACGAAGTTCAGCCATTCATATGGTCTTTTATATGGCAAATCTTCACTCTAGACCAACTCAAAAAGAAGGGCTTTGCCTTCCCTAACCAAAGCATTCTGTCTCCTAGAAGAGGAGACAATTCCCCATTTATTTCTACACTGCGAAGTGTCACAAAGTCTTTGGGCTTCTCTTCTAAAGCTGTTTGATGTACAATGGGTCAACCCGGCTAACCTGATCCAGTTCTTCGAAACTTACTTTGCACTACCTTTTTCCTAGAAGGATAGGAAATTATGGCACCTTGCTGTTACCGACCTGTTTTGGAGTCGCCGGCTAGAGAGAAACTCCAGGACCTTCAGAGAAACAAAAAACAATAGCAGCTGTTTTTTATTCTATAATCGCTTTGATAGCCTTCTAGGCCAAATCAGTTCCCATTTTTTCCACCCTGTCCATCTCTCATTTCCTAAATAATCGGGATTGCCTACTACACCTTGCACCCCAAATAAACAGGCCTAGACCTCATTGGTTCCCCCCCGCAGGCTTCCTCAAACTCAACGTAGATGGTTCCTCTTTAGGTAACCCTGGCCCTTCGGGCATTGGAGGAAAATTGTCGGACCTTATTTTAACCATTAGGACCTTCTCAGAATTCATTGGACATCAAGACTCAACCTTTGCGAAGGCCAAGTCCCTTTAGGTGGGCCTCAACAAGGTGCTAGAATTAGCGCCTATTGGACAAGGCATCTTGGTGGAGTCAAACTCTTTCAACATTGTTAGTTGGACCACAAAGTTCCACCAGCCTCCTTGGAGGCTCTCATCTATCTTTGAGCATATATTTTTCTTATGCAGCTCTCTTCCTCAGGTGTCCTTCACCCATATCTACAAAGAGGTAAACTCAGGCAGATAGACTAGCCAGGGAGGGAGTAAATCTTGGCCCGTAAGCACACTTTGCTTCCTCAGCTCAGCTAATGAACTCAGACAGTCTCTCTTCTCCACTTTCTCTATTCTTTCCTTACCGCAATAAAAAAAAAAAAAGCGGGGAAACAAAAAGGAAAAAGAAAGGGGTATATAGAGGTTCCGATCTTTAGAACCCATTTTAGTTTTTTTCATCTTTGCTCTCATTTATTGGTTCTGTCTCTCCCTCTCTTTGGTCTTCTTCAAGGTCTATCGTATCTTCCTTTGAAGCTCTCTTCCGACAAAGGGCCTACTTCCAGTAGCTCTCTCCGGTGACCGTCATCTTAAGCCTCACTCATCTTACTTTCAAGCATATTCACAGAGCAGCCAACACAGAAGCAGAT